TTCCATGAGAATTTTGATTTCTCTTTTGGATAATATTTTCCTAATCAATGCAACTAGTAGCATTTTTATCTAATGTAGCCTGATATGTGTTTCTGAACAAGAAGCCGAAACCAATGAAAAGGCAAGTTTTGATTTGTTTATTATGCTATTTGAATCAAGGGGTTATTTTCTTGTCAGATTGTCATCATAGAAGTTATAATGTTAATTAGACATCTGAATCCTGGTGTAATATGCGTCTGGAACCAAACTAATATTTCTCGTTTGGTTTTGCTTTATAAGCGTGAAGGTGCAGAGTTTGATTTTGTACATTTGAGGAGTAGCCTCTTATCTCTTATTTCTTTTTGGTGCACCGATTAAGTTCCTTTATGCATAGAAGATTGGGTGTTGTTCGGAGAAAACCATATCTTTGTGTAGGTTTCTACATTTTGGTATACTTCTCATATATAAGCATCATTAACAAAAACGTATAACTTTATCAAAAGAGGTCTTCAGAATAGTCAGGTACAAGTCCACTATTCGGTGTTCAGACTTCAGAGTTAGTTTCAATAGAGTAGGACTATATTCAATGCAATGAAATTCTACTAATACTCAAGTGCAATTCAGGTGTGGAAAATATATTTTATATGTTGTAGATATGTCCATGTAAGTAGAGTTTAGATAGTTGATGGAGGGGAGGTATATCTGAATTGTTCCTGCATTTATTTGTAAATACTGCTAGACCTAAAAGTTGTACTGACAGTAGTAACTACTGTAAATCCTGCAAGCTACGTTAAGATTAAGCTATCCTTGTTGGGCATACCTTTCTCTAGTTATAACTTATTCTGTAGTTTGGAATCCTCACCTCCACGCTCTCACTCTACCCCTCACAACCAAGAATTAAAAGAGAGGAACAGCAATATGTTATTTTCTTTTTTTCTAAAGAAGTTGTGTTACGAATTGATAATCTATTACCATTATCTTATATCTCACACATCTCTTCCTGATGGAATATTTCATCTTACTGATGGTTGCTGCAATGATCTTACTGTAGAAAGGAGGCGGAACAGTTATCACCTGGAGTGTTTGTTCAACTTTTACGTGAGGATGCTTTGCAGACATCATCAAGAAATGAAGCTGTCAAAATTTTGGGAATATATAGTGAAAGGACTGGATATATATCCATGCAGTCCAAATGTTTACAATGCATTAGTTGAAATTGGCCATCTCTATGTGTCACCCAATAAGCTGCGGTGGATCTTTGATGAAAATTTCCAAAAGTATGACCCTCTTACCCTTTCCCCCAATTCTATGTGATATTCAGTAGTCAGTCAATGTTAAGTTCTCTTATTTTTAGTACTACTTCTCAAGCGGCTAAGTTTACGAATCTTGACTTTCAAATGCATGTTTATACATGCGTACTTAAAGATCTTTTTCTAAGCCGCTCTGTTTGTGCGATGAAAAGCTGTGCCAAGCATGTATTATAGAAGGTCTCCAACGTCTAGAGTTCCGCCTCTTTCATGTCAGAGAGCCTTATAATGGACGATTAGATCTAATTTCCCTCCTCCTCCTTTCATCAGTAAATTCAAAAATAAAAATAAAAAACGAACTAAAAAAATTTAGGATGAGGCCTTTTTGACAGTATTATAAAATGTCTCTTGGTTTATGTTTGAAATCTATCCTCTTGAAAGAAGATGCAGAAGAATATATACCTAAACATGTAGCTGTTTAAAGCTGTGTTTATATAGTTCTGCATCTAATGGTTTCAAAGATTTATTCTCACTCTTTCTTGTGTCCTTTGCTTAAACTTACAGGAAACCATCGCTTGTTGCTTGGCTCTTTGCATTATCATTCGACATGAGCAAAGGTGGTACAGAGCATAGAATACGCAGACTTTTTGAGAGAGCATTGGAGAATGAGAAGCTACGTAACTCTGTATTAGTCTGGCGCTCGTATATTGCTTATGAAAGTGATATAGCATGCAACCCTTCTGCAGCTAGAAGAGCTTTTTTTCGGGCCATCCATGCTTGCCCATGGTGAGTATATTGTTCATGATGTGCTGTAGCAGTGAAATGATTTCAGGATAAAAAGGAATTTCATAAATTTAAGAGGCCAAGAAGGAAAGAACTCGACATAATATCATAAATAAATTGTTACTAGAGCCGGGTTCACGGGGAGAGAAAGGGAAAACAAACTCTTTATTTCTAGTCATTACCCTCTTTCAACTGTTGGACAATATCCATGTACTTCGTATTAGAGCCTCTCATTTCACTTCAGCAGTTAATGCCCTTGAGGGAATCGGCCTCTGTTTACCTGTTTCTTGTAGCCTTGGTGCAATTTCTAATGAGTCATGGATTTAGTGTATAACTTTTTGTTTGCCATGGATGGCCTACCATTTTTGTCCCTCTGTAGCACTATGATGTCGATTCCTACATTTCCCAAGCTGTCTCCTTGCTTACCATAACACAAATGTCCCTCAATTGTAGGGTTTTGTTACCCTCTTATTTTAATATTTCTTTAGCATTGACCTAACCTTAAAACTGTAGTTTGCAACCCTGAAAGATTGCAGTGTATTCATTTTAACAATAATCAGTTAATTTTTATTGCTGTGCTTTGTAATAACCTCATTTCTGTTGCTCTACATTTTCACAGGTCAAAGAGGCTCTGGCTTGATGGTTTCATCAAGTTAGCTTCTGTGCTTACAGCAAAAGAGTTGTCGGATCTCCAGGAAGTAATGCGGGATAAAGAACTCAATTTGAGGACTGATATTTATGAAATACTATTGCAAGATGATGATGAATCTTAAGTCATGAGAATCAAGGTTTCTTCAGTTTTGGACGGGTTACATACCTGTTATTCTGCTACATTGCTGTTGTCAGGGCTTAACTATGAAGCACCTGCCCTTGGTTGGCTTCGTACAAGGGGGTGAGTGATGCCTTTGCGCTTAGTATATGCTGTTACTGTCATGCTGTGGTAGAAAGAAAGATGTTTCTTTATAATGATGATAACAGAAACTGTAGATATTGTATATGTATTACTTGTGGGATTAGTTCTATGACAGCCTGGTGATGCCATTTCTTTAATCATTCATCATAACGTGATTAAATCAGCAGCTAGTAGTGGTACCATTGGTAACTTTGGTAAGTGGATGGTTGATGTTTCAGCTACCCTCTGATGATATGCTTCAATGTTCTACCAACAATACAAAAATTAGCAAAAAGAAAAGAAATTGTCTTCAGAAGGATTACGGAAACGGATGTCCTCTTGACTTGTGAGCATTTCTATGTTGCATTCTGTAGCTTCCACATATAACTTTTTGGAGTCCGGAACCAAAATGTGGTTCTTTGGACTCAAAGCACAAATAGGTGGTAAAAAAAAAGTTACATTTTTATATATAGCGCCACAATACCTGGCGCTATACATTAACGGTAACTGCACCGTTAATGTATAGCGCCATTTATTGTGGCGCTATACTGCAAAAGCTGACAGGGCCCAAGTATAGCGCCACAATAACTGGCGCTATACCCCTTTCTTCCTTTTTGGTCTTTCCGAAAACACATGGAGATCATTCAACAAACATTATGGTTGTTCAAACTGAATAAGTCAAATCAAACCAATTTAAAACTTTAATTAGGTTTGGTTTGATTGGTTTGGTATTGAGTAATAAAAATTCGAATCAAGCCGACATATAATTATATAATTATAGATACATTGAAGAATTTATAAAGAATTTTTTTCAAAAGATATCTAGAAATATTTGTGATCTTCTCATGGAATGTATTTTTTTTTTTTATACTTTAAATAATAGGTTATATCATTACTTTCTTATCAAATATTATTGAAACGCGTCAATTTTTTTGTTGTTCCATATTCATCTAATAAAAACCCCGAAAAACTCGAAAAAACAAATAAAAATGAACTAATCATATTAATTTACTTTAGCCCAGTTGGTTTCAAAATCAAACCTATTTGTAATATGCAAAATTGTGACTAAAGTGGTTCTTTATCCAATTTGATTTGTTTTCCAAGCATATTAATTCACTTTAGCCCAGTTTATTTAGTTGGATTCTTGCTAACTACATGTACTAGCTGCTCGTGGGGTAAAAGACTAGGAACAAGAGATGATTATGTTGTACTGGCATCGGAAAAAAATAAAAAAAAAAAATGAAAAGAGAGACCGAAAGAAAGAAAGAGACCACTTTAATGGCATCGGAATTGGAAAAAGTAACAAAGGGGTATAGCGCCAGTTATTGTGGCGCTATACCTAGGCCCTGTCAGCTTTTGCAGTATGGCGCCACAATAAATGGCGCTATACATTAATGGTGCAGTTACCGTTAATGTATAGCGCCAGGTATTCTGGCGCTATATATAAAAATGTAACTTTTTTTTTTTACCACCTATTTGTGTACTTTGAATCCAAAAGAACCACATTTTGGTTCCGGGGGTAGGGGGCCTATTATTCTAGTTTGTGAAGGAAGAGATGACGCCGTTTGTATTGTTGAAATGCAGTTGTCTTTTCTTCCCCTTCTGATAGTGGTCTTAAATGTTTGAATAAACTCCCTTGTTATGAGCTTCTCAATTGGCACTACCCAGAAGCCACTAATGTGATCACTTAGGCAGATATTACACCTATGCTATGCAGTCAGTAGCACTTCCAACGATGGGAATAAAAAGAGACTCCTAAGCCAGCTTTTGTTCCTCTAGGAAACCGTGTCCCCGCAACGGTAAGCAAATTTTGGTTGCTGGAAACGCACTACGGCTTTATTCTCTTCAGATTTTTGTAACAAGTCAATTGCTGCATATTTACATTTATCATTATTTGAGACTGATTTCTTGTTTTTTCATTTCTTCAGCATTACTTCTAGGTAGATAACCACTACAATAGATAAGTATACACTGGAACAGCCAATGTCACATGTTCTTGCATTCAAGTCATTCCATTCCCTAATCTTGCAGACTTGCACCCTCTTGGAGAGGCTGAAAGTTAGCTTTAGTTTCCTATCTGAACATCGCGACCACATAAATGTTAAAGACAGTAGGACACTTTGCAGTAAATGATTTGAAAGGATGAATATATGGATACAAGTGCTAAGGAGAATGTTTCCCCAAAGATGAAGTTTAAAAAGGAGACTTATCGTATACGATATATTTCACTTAGGTGCTATGTCACCTGTTTGTAGTGAAAGCGTACCCCATCACTAGCTTCTGTCCCCTGAAATAAACATCTCTGAAACTTGCTAACCGATTTGTACTTATAATCAACAGTTAGAACACATTCACAAGCACAATAGCAAGTTTCAGGTTTCGTCATCGACCTGAAAATTTTCCGAGTATTACCGTGACTATCAATTAGGTTAAGCTTGCTCATCTTTTCTGCTCAATTATATATTTAAAACCTGCATTTCCTATCTATTAAAAGATCAAGCAAACGGAGCAGCAGACTGGCGATTTCTTGAAATTTAAATTTCCTCTTCCTCAAATGGGTCTTCTTCTGGATAATCTCCAATCTGCAATGCAAAATTTAGAGCTTGTCAAAAGACCAGATCTAATGTAATTTACAAAACTAACACAGAAATGTTTGCATCCCAAACATTTTTCTTGGGGAAGTCGGTCGAGGTAAATAGGGATGCACTTGTTTTCCGGTAGTCATTTCTAATTTCTTGACTCCTTTATGAAAATGAAATTTCAAAATTGTAGTTTTCGATCAGCCAGACAATGTGAGTCAACTATACACCCTGTTCTGTATCGCCCATGATCACAAAACATTTAACCCACCTTTACATTCTCCAATAGAGCTTCACTTCTATTTATCAGCTTCTTAAAATTAAAAAGGTAAGCCATGAGTCCTGCATGTTCCTCATTAAATTATCAGTCATTTGATTTAAAATATAGAACTCTTGACTCTTCTTATCTTCATAGCATGCTCTTAAACATGGATATTCAACTGAGTAACAAGGTTTTATAGCTTGAATTGCATTAGATGCCCCATAGCTAATATTGAATGCCTAGTATTAACAACTGAGAAATCTCTTCATTTTATAAATCACTAAAGGCACAGTGGAATTGGATGTTTGTTTACGACATTCTAATCACATCATCTCCATCTTCTCACATTATGAATATTCCCAAATCAAGATTCTATGACTTGTAATAAGTGTAAATATATCCATCTCAAGAAAGATAAACCATATCACATTTCAGTCCAAGCATGAAACAGATACAAGCAACATTAACTGACAAGTATAATTTTTTTTATCAGAACATTACCTGGCAAGTTTATTGGGGCATTGAAATATGGAAACGATACCCCTAATACAAACCTTTACTTTGTCTGGTCGGACCATTGCACCATGAAGGGGAGGGCAGTCAAAGTAACGTTTCCCTTTCACCCTGTGAAACATATGAGAAGAATTTGGTTTAGATGCAGCAATTATTGTAGGAACCTTTTGAATAGTTTCCCAAATATAGCATTTCTTCAGAAGTGAAATCGCAAGTGCAAGTATCAGAGTCAAAAAGAGAACAGTTGTGCGGTGTGCCAATACACAAGGCAAACATTTCTGAAAAAAGGAATCTGCAGCAATAGACCTTTAGAGAACTCTGGCCAAGCATTACACTTCATAATGCAGCAGAGCAGATACATCAGTTGCTGCTCTGGACGGGTGAGTTCCATATGACTTGTTACCTAGCAATTGCTGTCCCATTATTTTAAAATTCCCAATTTTCTGTTGATAATTATTTTCGTCACATAAATGAAACTTATCCCAACCTCTTTTGAAGCAAGATCTCATGTATATTATGCACCATCCGTGCTTTGGTAGTAACTCTAAGTTATAACCCCATCCGAACTGGATCTATTCCACTCCTCTATATCCTGTGGCACCCCATTAGTTCAAATACAATTTTTCCAATTAATTTGGTGAATGCATATACCAATAGCTATTTATGTGCACCATTACCTGCCCACCCACGCCACACCCCCACCAGAAAAGAAAATCACATTTCACAAAAAATAGTATGTGCTCTGACATAAATTTGTGTACACCAATTTTAGGACGTGAAACTAAAGCAGTAAATAACTCTAGGCTAGTAAGTAGTAACAGATTTTACAGTCAATTGATTAAACAACTGGTTAGACCTGGAGAAGCAGAAACCTGATGCTGCTGTTTGAAAACAGGATCGTCAACACCAGATTGAGTTCAACCATAACAAAAGGAACACGTAATTAGTTTATCATCTGAAATCTCCTTCAAAATAATTAATGCAAGTAAAGATCGATTAAGCTTGTGGATGCAAGGGTAAACTTTTCCTGACTATAATAAGCACCAAGGGTGAAGAATTGGTTAACGCATGTCCTACAATTGAAATAGGACATGTAAACATGGCTAAAGTTTGTAAATTAAGGATTGGTGCAAACGAACCAATACAAGCAAACCATACGATCTTTCACGGGTAGGCAAGTCATTCATAAGAGACATGCATAGCACATGCTTCCTCACAAAGTAAACTCTTACTGCTAGTTACTACCAATATATTAAATATATGTATAGCTACTTCAAACTAAGATATAACTAGGAAGTTTGTGTTTCTGACATACATGCCGTCATGCTTTCCTGCTGGTTCATCAAACTGAACTCCAACCCAAAACCCAGGTGCAAGTGTTTCTGCCTGACCAACAAATTTGACCGTCCCTCTTCTCTCTCCAGGTTCCACTTCACATCTGTCCCCTATCTGCGTTCACGAAGATAAACAAGTTAACCATAACGCTAAACGATTATTCTTCTGAAACAGAAAATGTTAAGTTGCAGAGAGAAAATAAAGGAAAGAAGTATCCAGAAGAACATAACTCCTGCACCCCCACTGCGGAAAAAAATAATATCTAAAAAGGGGGAGAGAAAAACATAAAGGAGCAGGAAGAATCTACAAGTTTAACAACAAAAGTACCGTATATTAACTAAAGAACCTAGCTGCTGTTTTTCAGGTCAGGTAACAAATTGCAAATTTAATTCCATTCAGAAATAGAAGTACTTGAGGTATAAATGGTTTTGTCAAAAACATATTGATGGCCTACCATCAAGTATCAGTAGTGACAACTATGAAATGAAAAGTATACCTTACTACAGATTATGTATCTCCACAGTCCACCCTTAGTTACAAGTCAAACTATCAATGATCCAATCAAAGAACAAAACTAATCTACAATAACTACCTAATTTATGCTAAGTTAAACCTTTCACTTTCTATTTATTTGAATGTTTATATTTTCTAATTTGGGTTGGAGGCACTTTTAGTCGCAAGAAAATACATTGCTGCAAATTGTTTAAAAGGACATATGGATACAAGGAAACTTCTTAGGGTACTTAGGGCAGGTATATTAGTCAACTACTACATTTTTGTACATAGCATCTTCTCTGACAATCAGCAAACAAACTCTTTGCTTCAGCAAGAGATAGCATATACCGAAATAATGTACATAAAGGTAAGCCTCAATAACTGCATAATTAAAAGGCTCACGTGAGAAAACTGAAGTATGGCCAAGAATGTATATACTACTTTAATATGAGAATGCAATAGACAAATTAAATAGTCAGAAAGAGAACTGCAATAGGAGATAGATCAACAAACCTTAATATTTGCACATAGATCTCCCATATAGTTGTCAGATATCTGTTTGAAAAAGCAAAGTGAGGAAATGAATAAAAGACCTAGCATCGCAAAATATAGCAACATGACACAAAAACGACAAGTAAATAGTACTTTCAGCGACTGGTATTGTTCAGCACCAAAAAGCTCTTCCCAAAAAGAAGTAGCGAGGCAAGGAACTTGCTATATTTTAGTGACAGTGATTAACTTAAACATTGCAGCAGTTCCATAACCACCTGACTTTCCCTCCCAAACATCCACTCTAGATGGAATCTAAATTTGTTATGATGCCAAAAAATGCCCTTCATTTAAGGGTGAAGTGCTGAAGAGGTGGGTATACGACAAGATATGTGGGAGAAAGTCTGAAGTGCTGGGAGCCTGGGAGGGTTGTGAGGCTAGAGCTTGTCAAGTGAAAGTGGTTTCTCTGAAGATGGGAGTGGGAGACTAAATATGCTGGGGAAATGGGAAAGGGAGTGATCCAATTAAAATGAGCCAGTTGAATTAACTGTTAATCAGCTAAAGTTTGAAAAACAGCCCTTTCATCTTCTTTTTATTTATACAAATTAGGATACTTTTATTGTCATTGTTGCATCAGGCTGCTGCCAAATATATATACAGAATGATCAATCAACATAGTAACAACCTTTTTCTCTTACTCTCCACCATATGTTATTGGGGTAATATAATCGGATTGGAGGGTTAATTTGGAGATAAAGTTGAAATTTTCAAAACAATGTAGTTATTTAAGATCCTAAGTCCTAACTAATAACATAGTAAACTAAAGGGGAGATCCATTATATTTTGATAGACTTGAGCAGAAGTCTAAGTAATTTACCATAAGTTTTAAACTTTTTATAAGCATTGGAATATTAGTAGAAAACTTACTTTAGATTCTTGACCAGGCGGTTGCTTAAGCGGCAATGTTTCCTTGAATTTTCTGAAAGTACCTAGAAAGTTGCAACAAACTTGTCAACTCTATGACCCATCCCAGGAAGAAAAGACATAGAGCATGGGACGCCACCCCAGGAGCCATCATGATTCATGTGCTTCTTGTGGAAAGAGAGAAATATCAGAGCTTTTAAGGGGACAACAAATAAGTGTAGGTATAGCTTTTTATACTTGGTTTCTGGTACCCATGAAATCCATGTTTGCTTAAAAGAATAGATTTCATTTGTAGAAAGCCGTATTATCCTGTAGGATATCTATATTTTGGTACACGACTTATATGCGCGGGTACTTCCACATTTATAAAAAAATTACTTTATCAAAGAGAAAAGATATTTGCTAGCATATGACAGCATTTGGTACTCCAATGAAATCATGTTAATTTAGCAACTGAAGACATACTATAAGCCATCGCGAAACTGTCATTATGTACTTTCTTTTACAAATGGGAAAAAGAATTACAGTCATATGGCTACTTCTTTGCATCTCCAAAGAGACTGAACATGCCTCCATTTTAACTTCATGGACCACGTAGTTGGATATTAAGACATAAGTAAACAAGTCAAAAATTACAAGAAAAGTATCATCTACGTTAGGAACATGATTAATAATAGCAAAGCAAAAGATGTTTGATTGGACAAAAAATCGTGCTATAAAATCTACAGTATAACCCTTTTTTGGAACAAGTAAAGTGTGGTATAACATATATAATCCTTTGTACTGTGTGGCTCCTTCCACAGTTAAACCATAACAGGTAGCTTGTCATGTAAAATCAGAAAGATGTCCATAGTGAGTTGCGTCAGAAAAGTGGAAGAAAACCAATGATCTAAAGACTATGAGTGTTCTACAGTCATCTTAGAACCACAAGGACAAGAAACTGAAGCAAATTCAGGAAGATCCACTGTTTTCCAAAGGCTCTACTTCTCACGGAATTATTTCTCAAATTATGTCATCCACTAACAAACCCCAATTGCCTGGGAAACAAATTGAGGAGTAAATTGACTTGAAGAGGCATTGTATTCGAGTTAAGGAGAAATCAAATTAGAGAAGACATTTGTAAAGCAAATACGCTAAGTGAAATTCGTCAGCATTTACCACCAAGTTTCCCATAAGCCTCGTCAGAGATAGTGTACTTCTCCACAAGTGATGTGTCCTCGAGCCAACCTCCAGAAGTCACTGATGATGGATCAAGATCAATGACATGCAGGCGATAACTGCAAATGCACATTGGTTAATCCAAATATATACGTCCGTATTAGTTCAAGTTCTTTCTGCACAAAATGCAGACAGGACTTGATTTCAATACATAATACAGAGAGTTTGTTATCTAGAAAAGGACAATTAAAATATGCTAGGTCTTGGAACGGAAAGAATTTTACTAACCCGTCCAATGGGGAATAAAAACCAAGTGGTCTTGCATTATCACTTAGGACTGAGATTTTAGCACCAGTTTCATCATAGAGCTCTAGGGACATTGAATCGACGGAAGTACCACACTTTTTCCAAAGCTTCTCTTTAACGGCTTCCACTGTCATCTGAAAAGAAAGAGACATTGGACTGTAATGCACAGCACAAAGACATTCAAAATGAATTACGAGCGCCAATCGTTACTTCTATTATAGCAAAGATGAGCCATTTGGAAGTCTAACTAATAAACTCATCGAGAACAGATGTAAAGCCGATCATATATCTTTGCAGATTTGAAATTTAAGTTCCAATTATATAATTGATCTAATTACAGTAATAGAGGAACCTGCATAACTGATAATACTACTAAGCAAAGGCGAGAAACTTGCGAGTACCTGAAGTGAAAACCGGATTTCAGCGGAAAAGCTCTTAATATTGGAATGAGTGACCCGTACAAGTACGGATTCATCTCCTTCAATCTGTAACCGAGATCCCATTATCCTTCTATCTGTAACGAGAGTAAAGCTCACAGGTGAAAATCAGATAGAACAAAATCAAATACAGAAACCGACCATGTCTATTAGAAAACACCATGAACCCGATTATTACCTGAAAACTGCCGTTAGAATAACTGATTTTAGCCCTCTCCACAGTCCACTCTCCACAGCACACAAAGAGGTCTGCAGAGAGAGAAAGCGACGGGTGGGGGACACTGATTTTTAGAGAGCGAATCAAGGAATATGAACTTCCGATTTTTTCCTTTTGTGTCACAGTTCAAGCTGTGATCTGGGACATACAAAATTTTTTTAAAAAGGATGATTTGAAGTCTTTTGTGAGTGGAACATAATCATTTAATTAGGGCACAAAAAGAAAAAACGAATTAATTCTTTTATTTTCAAATAAAAAATTAAACTGTGAAGGCCCATTCCCTCCTGCAAATTACTTTATGATAAATAATACTAGTACTACCTTATTATAATTAGTATATATTACTTCATCCTTTTCAAATTTAAATATGTAATTTAACTTGACACAAAATTTAAGATGAATTTTTTTTTGAAATATATGATCCTAAAAGTTTAATAAGTAAAATCTTTATGAGACTATGATATTTGTATGGCTATAAAAAACTTCACATTAATGGTTAAATTAATAAAATAAATTATTTTCAAATATAAAAATATGTAATTCTTCTAGAAAGTACTATATAATTATTATTTTTATTTTTTTCAGCAGTAGACGGTGCTTTCCTCGGACCTTTGAGAAAAAAGAATAAAAAGAGCTTTCTAAACCCAACGGCGTTGCGCCTAGATGTTCACCGTGTGTAGACATAACAAAGTTCCCAGTTTGGTTTCCAAGTTCAGGACTGCGACAATTTCCTCAGTAGCTCGTATAACAACAACAGGAAGCGGCGTTACCAGTAGTTGTACCCAAGCAACAAAGCCACCACCGTCAACGCTGATGAAGAAACCCGCAGTTCTTTACCATTACCCCTGCCCTGATGGAGCTTTTGCTGCTTTGGCCGCTCACCTTTATTTTTCTTCCATACACATAACTCCTCTTTACTTCCCCAACACCGTTTACTCTCCTATCAGGTAGATAGATTTCTCTTTGTTTCTTGTACATTCCCTTTTAAGTCATTGTTAAAGGGTTATTTTCTACTTTATCTTTCTGTTTATAGGGTGGAAGACCTTCCTCTAAATGAAATTGATCATGTTTACCTCTTGGATTTTGTGGGTCCATCTGGTTTTGTTCACCAACTCCACTCTAAAGTTGACTGGTAAGTCTTTTGTCTTTTCAGTTTTCTCTGTTCAGCATGTGGGATTTATGTTTACTAATTCCTTCATTAAAGTTTGAACTCGTTTGCAGTGGCAGGTTTTTTCAAAATCAAAAATCTGATTTTTCTGTGGTTTAAGTTCATTTTTTGGACAAAAATGTTTGTATTTCTGTATGTATTCGAGAACTTAATGGAACCACAGTTTTCTATGCTCATTGTTTTTTTTCCCCATCATTTATTTGGTATGCAGTGTTGTTGTATTAGATCATCACAAAACTGCACGAGAGCTGTTAGGTGGAGGGACATATGTGAGTGAAAATTTGATTAAAGTGATCGACATGGATAGAAGTGGGGCTACTATTGCTTATGATTATTTCAAGGAGAAGCTCATAAATGGGGATAATAACAGAGCTGCCGATGTCGATGCACTAAAGATTGGTGAATTTGACAGAGTTAGGAGATTATTCGAATATATAGAGGACAGAGATTTGTGGAGATGGAAACTTCCCGACAGTAAAGCATTCAGCAGTGGCTTGGATGATCGTAATATTGAATATGATATCAATTTGAACCCCTCCTTGTTTCAACAGGTTGCTCCTACTGGCTGTTTTATTTTCTAATGAACAACTGTTTTGTTATTGAAGTGGTTATAAACCCAACTAATTGAGAGTCCTTTTGGCTGTGAATTATGCCAAGGGAAGATACTATGCATGCAAATGATAATTAAAGTGTCAATTTCCGGGACTGATGTATTCATGCACATAGAATATACCCGGGGTTGAATAGGTTTTCTGAATAAAGAGGTGTTAGTTATATCACATGCCAGAATTAGATCCACTTGAAGTAAGGAACTGATGCAGCAACTCAATATAGCTCTGACCCTTTTTGCTTCCGTAAATAACTGAGAGGCTTAGAAGTTTGGGAAAATTGGTGATTTTCTTTGGCACAAAGTCCAGCAGATTCATTTGAATTTTTGAATCCTGGTTACATGCACCAATTTCATATACTTGAACATAATCAAAGCAGTTTTCTATTGCCCAAATTTACTTTTGTGTCTTGCAGGCTGTTCCGTACTCTAATGATTTCCTTTCCTGCAGTTGCTTGCTTTGGATCTAAAATCTCTTATTGAGCAAGGAAAGATAAGTTTGTCCCACAAGCAGAAACGAATTGATGAGGTCCTTGAGAAGTCGTTTGAGATAGCACTTGGAGCTGGAACATTTGGTTGTTGCCTGGTAAAGATCCAAGATTTGTTCATCTCGTGACTATGGAGGTTTTTCGTAATGAACTTTTGGTTGTTAAATAAGCAATATGCCAAATCAACACTAGTTTCTATTTCTAGCTATGGGCGGCTACATTGAATACATTCTAGGCTTTATGGCTTGCTCTTCACACATGGATAAACAAATGACTTTGTGCTAACTCCCAATGCTCACGGAAAAACTATTGATTGCTGAAGGACTCACACTGCATTCTGAATCCTTCTGAAGAATGATAAATGCACAAATGCAAGCAAGTATTTTTTTGTTTTTTCACTGTTAAAAAGCAAGCGAGTATTGTTGTTCTTATAACCTATGATGCACCTTTCATGGCTTTAGAGCTTGTGAGATCATCTTAATAGTGCTAGATCGCTTTTTGGAAGTTGTCAATGAGCCAAAGACTAAGTTTTTGCCATCACTTGTAATTGGAATTTAAGCTTTCAAATGAAAAATGATGGCGGGCGTGGGGGTTCTAGGAAGTGGAACGTGTATAAGGTATGAAAAATGATACTTACTTTTTTTCTTGTTAAAAAAAAATTACAAGGTGCCTTATGTATTTTACATTTGATTATCTTGGGATGTACTTAATGACTATTTCTTTGTGAGGAGGTGAATGAACAATTGAACAACGTATAGCGTGTTACCCTCCATTTTTTAAGCTTCTACGATATAGGTTATGTGTCTTTTACTTCTTGGTTTCATATCAGAACAGCTCTTTCAGGAGTCTGCCTTCAAGCTGGGTTAGAAGATTAGCTAAATAACTAGCCATAAATCTTTTGTTTTATGGTCAGTGTTCTAATATGATCTTTTCCCAATCTTACTCTTGGCTGACATGAACTAGTTGCCTAAGTCATGACAGTCAAATGATTAGGCTGGTTCCTCTTGTATGACCGGTCATTCAGATTTCTTTTGTTTATCATGCAAAGGCTGTTCTTTAGGGTTTTACGGATCATATGAGATTGAGCTATTGAAGCCTTATAGTTGTAGGGAACCATATCCTTTAGCTGCTATTATTCTACTAGTGATCCTCTTAGTTATATTGATTCCAGAAGAAAACCCAAAGAAGTATAACAACTTGCGGAAAATTGTATGGCTACTTTATTTTGATTTGAGGAGGCAATGAGAGCACTGGTTAATATTGTAGAATGTTGGAAGGAAGGTGTCTTAGCTGATTAGGCATAATACTAAGGATGTAGGCAAGTCGTGTGTGGAACTGCCAAAGTGAAGGATAATTGTCTGGAAGGACATGTTTTTCGCCAATACCCCCCCCCCCGGTCTGTGCTTAGGGTCATTTACTTTGTGTTTTGTATATGTTTGTCTTTTTTGGTTTTGGTTTGGTTGTTTTCAACGT